TATTTTAGATGTTAATACTGATCAAATAATTCATTTAAGTAAGGCCAGGGCTGGAGTGGGCTTTCAGATTGGGAGTTACATGATGCAGACCATCCCACACTCCACACACACACACACACACACACACACACATACACACACACACACAGACACACAAAATGTCCTGCAATGTCATTACATCAGGCTACAGGCTATTCCTAACATCAGTGTAGTCATCACCCTACATATCCCAGCACTTCCGCCCTGAAACAAAATAATAGCAGCCAATCAGAAAGCTGGATTCGCACAAACAACCAACACTGCAGCACCTTCTGCACACCACAGGCACAATGTCTACATGGAGAACATGACAAAACTAAGTTAAAATCAGGTAGATGGGATGTACAATGTTAAACCCACAAAGTTGAAGATGTACAAACTTAAAACACGATAATTATTAAAGCCAAAAACACAGGTTACTGCCAGAGTGAGCAGACTCATATGAAGATGACATGAAAGTTAAATCACAACAGCTGATGTGCAAAAATAAGGGAAAACAACACAGCGATCTGTGTTCATGGCAGGCATGAAACATGTTCATGGTTTAGATATGCCTTACCTGTAATGACTCAATACACTGAAGTAATGTCCGTACAGGTGTCTGAACATAACTGCTAAGTTATATGTTTTAAGGTGGAACAGGGAAATAAAGGTAGCTTCAGCTTCATTTAGTCTCTGTCCACAGTTCGAGTCTCAGTTACATTAAGTAAACCGGCACTGTATCATGTAAGGCAGGGGTTTCTGGTTTAACCCAAAAATTACTACAGATATATGCTTAGATGAAACATTTACAGTTTGAGTGTTCTTATGCTGTGAGATTATTCATTAGCACACAGTAACCAACCCAAAACTCTACTGGCGCATCAGGAATTCTCTCCCGATTTCCCATAGATGTAGGCCATAGATGTAGGTAAACATTGCTAAAAATAATTTAAAAATATAAAAAGATGTCTAATGACAAAATAACATTGTAGAGCAATGTTATGTTCAGTTAAGTTAGTCAAAGTTTTCTTAACTTAGCTACTGACAGTTAGCTTGGTGTGGAAGTGACTCTTGGAATCGGAGTTGAAATCAAACAGTCCTACCTGATGGATATCACAACAGCAACTAAGGGAGATTCGACTTTAACTAACAGAATTTTATGAATGGGCAATTCTATATTATTTGAACAATTTTAACAGTTTTATTCAGTGACAATTCAAGAATCACACTCTAGAGACCCTCACTGAAAGGGTGAAAAGAGAACTGTGAAACTGAGATCAGGTGGGCTTAGGTTTGGTGTGTAGCTGTGCATTGGCATTCATCTCCACAGGGCCCAGGGGGAGTGTAGCCTGAGAGGGGGACATAAACTGGGATTATTCTGCTGTAAATCTCAGCTGCTAACAGCAGATTAACACAACCTAATCCCAAAGCACCAATGCACATCAGGTCGCAAAACTCGCAAAACCCTGTGATTACATACACACACACACGCACACAACATACAGCACCAGCTAACCACTAACTGCTGCTGGACTTATGTATGTAAGAGAGAGATTGTGGGTTTGTATTTGTATGTGAGCATAGCTTGAGTAGAACTATTTGTATGAGTCAGGACCGTAGCGGGGACTGAGCTCGGGGCTTACTCCATCTGTTAAAATGCATGAATTTGTTAATATGTGTGTGTGTGTGTGTGATGTTTCTGTCATGCTTCCTCTTAGTCATGCTCCTATGATGACCCTTCTCCATATACTGACATTTCCACTGCCATGGTGGGTGAACACTGACCTATCCATACTTGGCTCACACAAAGTCCCACTCAACCTAGTGAAAAATTGTAGCATGCAAGTAATTTTTTTGTCAAAATATTAGCGCTGTCAAACAATGAAAATAATCCTGATTAATTACATTATTTTGCATTGTTAACCAAGATTAAATGGTCAACAGTAAGTGCTATTATTGTGAAACTGATGCATCTAGCAGCAACACCAACTCAACCACAACCATGTGGTAGACCACATAAACTCACAGAGCACAGCCGCTGAGTGCTGATGTGTGTAGCCTATAAAAGTGGCCTATCATCCTCTGTTACATCACTAACTACAGAGTTCCAAAAATGCCTTTGGAAGCAACGTCAGCACAAGAACTGTGAGTTGGGAGCTTAATGAAATGGGTTTCCATAGTCCAGCAGCTGTACACATACGTGATAGAAACGTGATGAAAACAACTTCACTATCTGGCAGTCTGATGGATGAATCTGGGTTTGGCTAATACCAAGAGAAAAAGTAAAGTTTGGTGGAGGAGGGATAATGATTTGGGATTGTTGTTCAGGGTTTGCACTAGACCCCTGGTTACAATGAAAGATAATGTTAATGTTAAAGCTACAGCATACAGAGACATTTCAGACAATGATATCACACTAAGCAAAGCGTGCCACAGTTCATTAGACTGAATGGCTTTTTTCCAGTACGGAAGTTGCTATGAAAGGAAGTATTTTTGGATAGAACTGTGAGAGATCAATTAAACAGTATCTAAACAATGTTCCTTTGCACTTGTCTCCCTGCCTGCGCTTTTATTTTCTTTTTTTCCTCTCTCTCAGTTGTGTTCTCTTTTGTTCTCCTTTTTCTGTAGTCACAAAAAGAAACGTGTGAAAAATAAGGTTTCTTGTGGAGGCCCATAGGGGACATACTGCAAGGCTGTTAGTTTAGCTGGAGAACTGCCCTAATGAGAGAGGAATAATGAAGTGACATTACCACAGGCACACACACACGCACGTATCTTAGCATTCTATTGAAATAATGACTTAATTATGCTAATGAGTTGCCCAGTCGCCAACACTGCGTTCAGTGCTCATGGGAAGGCTGAGCATACCAGATGGTTAATATGACTTCACTCCATTGAGGTGCTTGTTGAAAGATGTGCTGACGATATGGACGTATCATTTAGAATCCTGGGTTTTTCACTTATTTATAAGTGGGAAAATTGGTATTTATAAAACACACTACCATTGGGCACATGTCTGATTTTACACAGTTCTTACTGTCTCTGGAAAGCAGTGATTTGATGATTTGAATCACATGTTTGGAATTGTAGAACTCTGATTGGGAGATTCTTTTTAACTGTAGTGATTAGCCTGCACTATGAACATACACCAGTGAGCCAAAACATTATGACCACTCACAGACCAAGCAAATAACACTAATTATATTGTAACAGTGGCACATGTCGATAAGCGAACAGTTGGTTCTCATAGTGTTGGATGCAGGAAAAATGAGCAGGTGTGAAGACCTGAGTGACTTTGACAAGGGCCAAATAACTGTTGCCACACTACTGGGTCAAAGCATTTTGAGGGGTGCTCCTGAACAGCAGTGGTGAGTATCTACTGACAGTGGTCCAGTGAGAGACAAACCACACACCGGTGACAGCGTTGGGCACTCAAGGCTCGGCGATGTAAATTTGACAGTTGCCACCTACCTAAACATTGTTGCAAACCAACAACCCTTCATGGCAATGGTATTCTCAGATGACAGTGGCCTCTTTCAGCAGGATAATGCATCCTTCCACACTGCACAAATTGTTTGGAAATGGTTTGAGGAACATGATGAAGAGTTCAAGGTGTTGCCCTTGCCTCCAAATTCACCAGATCTTGATCTGATCCAGCATCTGTGGGATGTGCTGGAGCAACAAGTCTGATCCGTGGTGGCTCCACCACGAAACTGACATGATCTGCTACTCATGTCTTGGTGCCAGATACCACAGGACACCTTTAGAGGTCTTATAGAGTCCATTTCTTGGTAGGTTAGAATTGTTTTTGGTCGCATGCAAAAACAGGACCAAAGGCATATTAGGCAGGTGGGCGTAATGTTTGGCTCATCTATGTTTATTGAAGCTACAGTGGTGCACTGATAAAATTATTCATATCCATGAGGTTGGTATAGGGGTGAGGACTGCTTTTTCAGTATATAGATGCACGAAAGAAATATTAAATAAAAATGTTAAACTAAAAATTTCAGATGCATGTTTTTGTTCCTAGAAAGCATTAGGCTTTTTCTGAAGGCCTAGAAGGCCCTGAGGATTCCCCACTGGACTGGGATCTGGACTCCGGGGTGGCCCATTGTCCAACAGTCCAGCAGCTTCTTTGTTTGATTTGCAGCCATCTTCTTTTTTGTCTATTTTCTTTTACCAGTAACAGCTTCTTGACAGCTGCACATTCCTTTCAGACTCATAGTGTTGAGTTGTCTTCTCAAGAAACACCTGCCAATGTTTTCAGATTTGAAGTGGAGCTTTATTTTCTCCTCTGTCTCAAAGATGAAAGCTTTAAGTACTGTTTATCTGATGGTGATAGTGTTGGTGGTCTACCAGGTCTTGCATGGTTGTCAAGGTCCTGAAAAATGAATGATGCTTAATGGCCATTTTGACTGGAAATTAATGGAAACATGGGCATTGACTTTTGTGAAGTACCGTACATATGTATAAACACATGCTTACTCTCTTTCTCTCTCTCTCTCTCTCTCTCTCTCTCTCTCTTGCACAAACATACATATAAAACACATACATAAAAAGACAGCCAGACAAGCACACCTGCACACACCCTCATGGAAAAAAAAATCATTTTTCTGTCCATCGAAATCTGGTCAAAATGTTTGTAAGAATATGCACAAAACTACGCTCTTCAACTTAAAGGTGCCCAAAAGGTTCTTTAGAGTGATGCCTTAGAAGAACCACTTTTGTTCCCATAGAAGAACCTTTCACTTGAGTTTTTAAGGAACCATCCCTTCTTCAAGGTTCTTCAAGGAACCAGAAGTTGTGTGTGACATCACCCTAAAGATCCCTTTTTACCTTTATTTTTAAGAGTGCAGCATGTTTAAGTTGTTGCCTCTGAGTCATTTCACTTGCTTTAGTAGTTTGCATGAACTTTCCAAAGACAAACACAGACGCTCGCACACACACTCACGGAGGCTGCATGTGCTTTCCCTCTGTAGACGTTGGCTGCTCTCACTCGTCACTCCATAAACCTGCTCCCCAACCATCTGGCGCAGGCGCTGCATGTGCGCGCCGGCTCGCAGGAAATAAACGCGCGCATGCAGAGCACCATCGCACTGCGCAGCGGAGACAAACTCCGACGACAGCACATCACACCTTTCTCGCTCACGTTTAGAGAAGCCGTCCTGGAGCACAAGGTAGCCAGCTACCCCCGCTCTTCATCATCCTCATCACCATGATCATCATCATCACCACCACCTCAACTCCTTCACCTCTGCTACCACACTTTCTCTCTCTCTCAGTCTTCCTCTCTTTATCTCACTTTATCTCTTTCTCCCTCGCCATTTCTCTCTCACAATTTCTCTCTCTCTGTTTCTCTCACTTTCTGTATTTCTTTCTGTGTTTCTCTCTCTCTCTCTCTCTCTCTCTCTCTCTCTCTCTGACTCTCTAAATGACATTTCTTTGTCATGAGTAAGCAAAAGGGCGCTGTGTGTTAGTGTTCCCAGTGAAGACACATTCACACACATACAAACATATTTTACTGGTCTTAGTTTTTTTTTTTGCCTTTAAAACATCAGCATCTTCTTAGCTTTCCAACAGTGAAGCTTCTAAGGAATACTCAGCGTAATCTCTGTCTGCTGAATGTGTAGCGCACGGCTGATTATCATTTACAATAGCACTTGTTGACTTGTTGATACTTCAGCACCTGCCCATTGACGTCTATTAAGAGTGTGTGTTGAGTCAATGGGTTTTCTTTTCTTTTACTAAGTACATGGAAATGCATCAAAATTACTGTCTGCGGTGATGGACTATATGCTACAGATTCAGCAGATAGAGATTAGGTTGAAAAACACCGCAGTATTCTTTTAATGCGAGCAGGACTGATAAATGATGCATTTGTGAATCAGTGACTGGCTGCTGGCCAATGATAGTTGACTTTAACTGAACTGCCCTCTGGTTACTCATGACCAGGTTCGGCATCCCTTTGTCTTTTACATGATCATTGGTGCCTCATTGACGTGTTTGAGCTGACCTTTAACCTCTGCTGTGTGTAACACATGTTGTGCTTGATCAGTGTGGTCTGCCTTGCCTCCAAACCCTTACATCACACGTCCTCTCTTCAGTCCACCACCCAGAGACAGAGAGCAAAGGAGAGTATGTGTTTGTGTGTGTGTGTGCGTGTGAGTGTGTGAGAGGAGAGAATATCCACTCTCTCCTCAGTAGTGATAACATGGTCACATGTAAGGTGTTTTGACTGTGGGAAATGTAATAAAAGCCATTCTCATAAATGTGTATGTATTTTTTCTCTCACAGTACTCGCAGATGAGGGACGAGGTGTTCAAGTCGAATCTGGTGTGTGCGTTCATCGTACTCCTCTTCATCACAGCAATACAGAGCCTACTGCCTTCTGCAAGGTAACACAGACACAGGACCAAGTGTAGATAATGTTGCTGTTGAAACAAAACCTTGTATCTCCAAAATGACAACTTTACAGGAGAAAGAAAAAAACGTACATTATCTTTAATGTAAGTCAATGGAACCAGACTTTTTTCCAAGCACTTTTGAGCTGACATGATCACGACGTTTCAGCTGATGATTAGCTGTCAGATAAATAATTGCAATTAATGATTTAATTGTCTTGTTTAATTGTCTTGTTCAGTGTATACAACCATGAAAATACAAGCCTAAAGTGGCTAGATTAGACACCTTATTTGCTAGCTTTGTTTGCTGAGTAGCTAACACTGATTGTACTGTTGAATTAACACTGCGAGCACAATCAAATGTCTACAGTTACACAGAATTATGTGAAGAGTTAAGCAAAGCTACATGTTCTTCAAAAGAGTGAAAATATAAGCAAAAAAAAAGGTTTCTGCCAGCATATATGCTAAAAACATTAGAATTAGCTACATCCCAGATAGCAAGCATGTATCAGTCCACTGGCTTGATAAGGTCGGCACCCCCCTTGCCACTGCTCGTCCACTCTTGGACCACCCAGATTATTGTTCTGCATACAAGGTCTAACAAGTTTTTAAATCTCTTCAAGCAGATTTTCAGACTTTTATTTTGAAAAATAAATTAGACAAATATTACAAACAATTGAGAGAAAAAGAATGAATGACTAGGCCTAATATAAAATGATTTTGTTGAAAATATAGTTGCTGACACTGTGCTAGATTAGTTACAACTGTATAACTGGCTTTTTATGATACTGCTGTTAAAATTATTTGCTAAACTAATTTACAAAGGATTACAATCGAAAGATAAAATAATAAGTAAATTGGACTGTGAGTGGAAAGCAGTGATTATAAGTGGCATTTTGTCTAATACTCTACTTAACTACCAGTGGACCACCCAGAACACGTTAGTGGTTTGTTTGCATATTTGACGATTGATTGTCATACAAATAATTGCAATTAATGATTTAATTGTCTTTTCTTGTTCGGTGTATACAACTATTTAAATACATGCCTAAAGTAGCTAGACTGGCTGAATAGCCACCTAACTTGCTAGCTATGTTTATTTAGTAGCTAACACTGGTTGTGCTGTCGAATTAACACTGCAAGCACACTCACACAAATCTCACAGATAATTGCAGTCATTTCAAATAATTGCGATTAAGCGATTATGTAATAATTGTGACAGGCCTAAAGAAGACTTTTCATAAGTGCACACAATGATGCAGTGCATAGTGATTATTGTAGTGAGACAACTTGAATGAGTGAAAACATGAAAATTCTGAATTCTGCAAAATGGACAAGGCTGAGAGATCTAATGCTGTGCTGCAGAATAACACAAATAACATAGTGAACTCTTGTTTTAGGCTGGTCTACCCCATTAACATCCATCTTGTTGGACAGCAAGATGCATAACCTTTTACACTTGCCATTTCCATCTGTCTTGAATGTTTCATCAGTGACCACATGATTGGATTTTGTGACTGGAAGAAGCGTATTTACTACATCAGTGTCTCACTGAGGAGAATGATGTCAGACAAAAATGGCCTGTAAGCCCTTGTATGTATATACTGACTGCTACAAACATGGATTGTGAACAGAGCTTATAAACAAAAAGGAGAGGAAGAAAGAAGCTATGTGAAGCAGCTGTTTTTGTCTTTGCTGTTCTGAAGCAGTTGATTAAGAGATCCTGCATTCTTGTCCGGGATATCTCGGGACACTTAACATTCACTTGGCAAATGTTATGTGGTCATTTGCGTGCCTGACCACCCCAGAAGGTGGCCTGAGTGATCAGAACACAAAGCGTCTCCAAGACTCATTGAACCTGGTTCAGTGGTTCCTGGGTCACTTAAGGCATATGTCAGTGTCAGGCTTGAATGGGGCCTACGTGAACTCAGGAGGCAAAAATTTACACCCAACAAGTCAAAACAGAATCAGTCGGCTATCCAATATCTCCACCTATTTTTTTTCAATCCTCCCATGTTTTGTGTGACCCTCAGATGCACCTTCATGAGAGAGAGAAAAGTGTTGCTTTTTTCTGCCACGTGAACTGCAAATTTAGGCTTGTATATAACATGAATACATCCGTTTAGCACAAGAACTTATTACATCTGGTCCACTTATCCTCCCTCTAACTCACTCACGCATGTAATATGTACATGCACAGTTTTTCTCCAAACTACTGTGAAGAACAGGTTGTAACCTTGACTCTGTATGCCTCTATAGGATGGCAACTATGGTGATCCAGTTCTCTGTGCTCATCTTACTGCACTGCTGTCTGGTTGTTGTGACAACGGCGGAGGACTACAAGTGTCTGCCATTGGTTTTGCGTAAGGCGTGTTGCTGGGTGAACGAGACGTACACGGCGCGAAATGTTGTCATCCTCCTCTCCATCTTGATCAACTTCCTGGCTGCCATTATTAACATTGTGAGTCTGATGCACACACACACACACACACACACACCTCCAAGCCCAGTTCTATATTATCCACAGCGTCGACAGCACTGGTACACTGAGAAGTCTAGAAGTTCAATGTCATGCTTTCCCAGTGCTGTTTTACTTCCAGGGATGCGGAGGATAACAACAATATGATTGGTTGCAGAGTTCATCCAGAATGAGAGAGCAGAGAGAGGATTTACATAAGTGGTCTGATGTGTCAGTTGTATGTATATATTGTTGTCTGATGACTCATTATAGTACTGAATGGAATATTCCGCTTCATGTAAATAAGCATAAATAAATAAATGTCACATATGTGCTGCTCAAAATTTCAGCAACCCCAACTTAAAACATCTTCCCACATCCCTGACTAGGTGTGAATTTAACCAAAGGCCTCATAGAGAAGTATGTACACTTGGTGGTCATGTCAGCAATGCCACCGGGCAGCTTTTTCCAGTACATACAAGACCAGGCTCCATCGCTTTGAATCTGGAAAGACATATTAACCCCAAACTAAAAGTCACGTTAACTTTTCAAATACGTATTTAAAAGCACTGATAACATCTGACAGCATAAGTAGTTTGTGGCGTTTGGCTTTATAATAATGCAATGTTTTTCTGCTTGTTCTGACTACTGCGCATGGACAAATGTCCACGATGAGGGGGAACTTTTCCCACTTGTGACTTCCAGCAAGCCAGTTGGCTCTTGATTCTTCCCTGTAAACAGACACAATGAGCACTACAATCTTTCCCTTTCATTTTCCAACCAGTGAACCAGTCTCCTTCTTTATAATGTCTCTGATTTAACACATAATTCAGCTCATCAGACAATTAATAAGCTAATTTGGGTTTAGCAGGATAAACACTCAAATACTGCACTGCAGGATTCTGCACTCACAAAGCAATGCTGCAGCGTTATATACATTAACCCAGTATGAGAAGTGGAAGTAAGAAAAATGAATATGATTCAGAGATGTTCACACGTCACATCATGCAAGTCCAAGTCTGAGTGGAGTCTTGAGTCTTTAGTTGAGAATTTTAGTCTCGTAATTAGCCGCACGCATTGCACTGTACAAAAGTAAACCTTGTGTAAAAAGTAAAAACCTGTCAAATTCAAGCAAGGAATCTTAAATTTTCATCTCTGATAAAACTGATAGTATGAATTAAATAGAAGTTTGTAAAAATGCAAGAGAATTAAAAATGTAAGTTTATTTGATTAAAACTGTGTTGATTTGATAAAATATGAGCCACAGTTTATCATTTATCACCAACATGGTCCTAACAAATGTTCTTTGCTAAAATAAAAGGTGTTGACAATTAAAACGCTAAATAACCGAAGTATTTGGTAAGTTTTTATCTGTTGAGTCATATGTGATTTCTTGCATCATGTATCATTTAACTTAAGCTGTTTTTTTGTTACTTGCCTCATTTACTGTTTAAATGTCAGTCAAAAAGTTCTGCCCGCTAACAGCAGCAGCAGTGGAGCATTGAGTGATTCACTGAGTGTCAGTGGGCAGAACATTCTGACTGACATTTAGCCTTGAGAGGCGGAATTAACAAAAATGCGTCAACTTAAATGATAAATGAGGCATGTAACAAAAATGACTAATGTTAAATGATAAATGATGCAAGAAACCAACTCTGTGATAATGGTTTTTCAGATCATTTGATGACGTATTATAATACCTTAGTTTTCAGTTCATTTGCATTTTCATCACCCTCTTTTTCTTTAAGGAATGTTCATATCCATTCTCATGGGAGACCTTGGTAATAAATGATAAACCAAGACTCATATTTAATCATATTAAATAGTTAATTTTTTTCCCATCACGTGAGTATCCGATGTTTCATTCACATGCAATTTTATTCAACCCATTTCACCAACTTATATGTATTACATTTAATACAGTTATATTACTATTACTAACAAATGCATTAACAGTAGACTATTGTTACTAAAGAATATAACAATCAAAGATAATTCCACAAACAGCACAGTGTTTAATAAACTGGCCTATTAATATAGATTTCAGTTAATGTGTGTACGTAAGTGTTGTAGTCAGGACCATTAGAGGCGAGTCTGAATCAACTGATGATAAACCAAACAACATGCATCCATTTTTATCATTAAATGAAATACTGTAATAACAACATTCTGATCTGCCCTCAGTGATGTTTCAATTTTGGAGGCAGAGAACACCAACAGACAAATAATACCCAGTTAAGGCATCATGGAAAAATCAATTAGATCCTCAACTGGCAGAGAACAGATTTTATTAAAACATGCAGAGAATGGACTGTTTTGTTTGGTTTGAAGATACTGTTGATATTCAATAATGAAAAGAAGGAGGCATCACGCTCAGCTGGTCTTGAGAACAATTTCCAAGTTCACCTTACCCCGAGAACAAGACAAGTCTAAGTCCAAGTGATGTTGAGACTGAGACAAGACCAAAACCATTAATTTACTGTCTCAGAACCAGACCTGTTTATATTATATAATGGCGATATGTACAGTATTGTGCAAACATTTTAGGCACTAAAACTAGAATTAAAAAGCTATTTATTGTGGCATTAAGCATTTATTTGCACAGAAAAAGCATTAATATTTGAATGAACAACATTAGTACAGTAAGTAGTGGTTTTATGTATGTCAGTGGGTTCACTTAACCCACTCCAAACATTTAACCCTTTTCTCATCATAGCAGCCCAGTATTAATTTAATTAGTTATCATCCAGTACCTGGTTTGGCTCATCAGCAATTCATTATGTTAAATCAGAAGTGCTGGTGATGGAATTGAAAATTACTTTTTTCAAAATAAGAAGTTCTTGTTACTCTTTATTGTATTTAGGTTTAATTGCTTCTATTCAAAGGATATATGGTGATGTTTATGAGGTTTGGATAGCACTGGTATGATATTGCAAAATATTTAGCAATATTATACAATGCTGTCTGAACCTTTTTCAATTGTTTACCTTTTTCTTTTCTTTTTAAAGTAGAAGCAGAAACACACTTGTTGCCAAGTGGAATAGTTTTAAAAAATTGCTTCATTATATATAATGAAGATTTTGCCACATGTGTGCCATTTTTGTTTCTTTCCCTTTGTCTTTTTCTAGTTGTGGTGTAATGTTGATAAATCCATCTGGGACGTGTTCAGGAACGGCACATTTGATGCTTCAGCCTCCATCCCTGGCTGTCTCTACCCAGAGGTCTGTTCTTCTACAGTGACAGAACCCCTGTAAACTAGACCCTAGAAATATCACCACCAAGCAACCAGTGATGCAGATGATCTGTTAAGTCATTTTCACTTACAAAGCATGTAATTTGAAGGGGTGTTCAAATTTTTGCACACGACTCTGCGTATATATAAAGCTCTAAATAGACCATACATTAATATACTAAATTTTACACTTATGTTGTTTTGTATTTGTCATTTATACCAAGTGCCACTTGGTATAATTGTTACTGGTTTGTGTTTTAAATTTATAAGCCATACGTTGTTTGTATTGTTTAATACAATGTATTATTTATGTGTTATTATTTATGGTCACAGTACTTTAGGCATGTCATTTATGATAAAACAATTTTCAGTTTTGTAAATGTTTGTTGATCTTTATGTTTGTGGGACATTTATTATTTGTCCTGTTTTGGCTAAATTACTACTTGACTGTTTGCTGTACTTTGTATTTACAGGCATTTGTATTTGTTCTGTATTCTTTAAAGTGTTTTGTGTTTATGAGCATGTTTGTTGTTTAGGTTTGCAGGTGTTTCTGTTTTACTGTTGAGTATTCTCTGTTTATGGGAGTGTTGGTTATTTGTAGTGTTTTGTATTCATGGGCAGATTTGTCGTTCATTGTTTACAGTATTTTGTGTTTACGGGCGTGTTGGCGATGGTGACGTGTGCCGTGTTTCTGCGGTTAAACTCTGTGCTGAAGTTGGTCATCCTGCTGTTGATGATCGCCATCTACTCACTACTGACCGAGGCTTTCTACCACTCGCTGTTCACTCGCTACGACACCATCTCCAGCTACGATAACTTCAGCAACCAGAGGTAAGCACACTCACACACACACACACATGCAGTAGGGCCCAACATGGACTGGCAGGTTAACACTGGCTAATATTATGGTAACGTGAGTTGATCAGCTATAATACCTCCAATAATACACCTATGATTATTAGCTTGTTTATATTATAATGAGCAGAAAAGAATGAAAACAGAGTAGCTGTTATCTTTCCATTCAGTTGTTATGTTTGTCATCTAGACTTTATGTTGACTACTATGCAGACAGTCACCCTCTGCTGACTAATATTACAGCAGTACTGGGTGAACTGGTAAATGTGAGAAAATGCAGAAAAAGGAAAAAACATGCTCTTTTAATGTAAGTCAATGGAACTAGGTCATTTTGGGTCATTTTTTTAGTCTATTCATCATGAAATTTACATGCAATGTACAAGGCAACAGGCATGGTCAAATTATGTCAAAAACTGAAAAAAACACCAAGAATGGAGATACAGGGTTTTCTTCTGACAGCAGCAATATACTTGGCTTATTTCTAGCCCAGTTAAAATAATCTAGAAATAGAATCATAAAATGAATAGATCACAAAAAAAAACTTTGTAAATATCTGAGGATTGAATACATACACACATGGACAAAATTGTTGGTACCCTTCCGTTAAAGAAAGAAAAACCCACAATGGTCACTGAAATAACTTGAAACGGATAAAAGTTATAATAAAATTTACTGCAAATCAACTAATGAAAATCAGATGTTGCTTTTGAATTGTGGTTCAATAGAATAACTTTAAAAAACAAACTAATGAAACAGGCCTGGACAAAAATGATGGTACTCTTAACTTAATATTTTGTTGCACAACCTTTTGAGGCAATCACTGCAATCACGCACTTTCTGTAACTCTCAATGAGACTTCTGCACCTGTCCACAGGTATTTTGGCCCACTCCTCGTGAGCAAACTGTCTCAGGTTTGAAGGGTGCCTTCTCCAGACTGCATGTTTCAGCTCCTTCCACATGTGTTCAGTAGGATTTAGATCAGGGCTCATAGAAGGCCACTTCAGAATAGTCCAATGCTTTACTCTTAGCCATTCTCAATTCTCATGTTTTTAGCTGTATGTTTTGGGTCATTATCCTGTTGGAGGACCCATGACCTGCGACTGAGACCAAGCTTTCTAACACTGCGCAGCACATTTCACTCCAGAATGCCTTGACAGTCTTGAGATTTCATTGTACCCTGCACAGATTCAAAACACCCTGTGCCAGATGCAGCAAAGCAGCCCCAAAACATAACCAAGCCTTCTCCATTTTTCACAGTAGGTACAATGTTCTTTTCTTTGTATGCTTTATTTTTGCATCTGTGAACATAGAGCTGATGCGACTTGCCAAAAAGCTCCAGTTTTGTCTCATCTGTCCAAAGGACATTCTCCCAGAAGCTTTTTGGCTTGTCAATATGCATTTTGGCAAATTCCAGTCTCGCTTTTTTGTGATTTGCTTTCAACAGTGGTTTCCTCCTCGGTCGTCTTCCACTTTGGCTAAAACAGTGACGGATGGTGTGATCTGACACTGATGTACCTTGACCTTGGAGTTCACCTCTAATCTCTTTGGAAGTTGTTCTGGGCTCTTTGGTTACCATTCGTATTATCCGTCTCTTTAATTTGTCATCAATTTTTATCTTGCGGCCACGTCCAGGGAGGTTGGCTACAGTCCCGTAGACCTTAAACCTCTGAATAATATTTGCAACTGTAGTAACAGGAACATCAAGCTGCTTGGAGACCTCATAGCCTTTACCTTTAACACGTCTGTGTATAATTTTCTTTCTAATCTCCTGAGACAACTCTCTCCTTAGCTTTCTGTGGTCCATGTTTAGTGTGGTACACACCATGATACCAAACAGCACAGTGACTACTTTTCACCCTGTAAATAGGCAGACTGACTGATTCCCTATGGTCAAATTATTTTCAATCTTTTCTAGGGGTACCATAATTTTTGTCCTGGCCTGTTTCATTAGTTTGTTTTTTTAAATTATTCTGTTGAACCACAATTCAAAAGCAATGTCTGATTTTCTTTAGTTGATTTGCAGTTAAATTTTGTTCATAATTACTTTTATCAATTTCAAGTTATTTCAGTGACCATTGTGGGTTTTTCTTTCTCACTGTCAGCAGGTGTCCAGTACACTCTGTATTCATTGTGAACACCCACTCTGACCTTTTAACTCACCTTAACACTTTCTTGGATTAACTCGCTATGTGTATATTTGGTATGTGTGTATTTGAAGAATACATAATACTATTGGAATCATATCAGTATTAGTAGATAATTGCTCAAAATGATCGACAAATGTTTTGATTTAAACTGATTTGACCAGTACGAGGAATTGATATTTGATGATGTATTTATTGTACTTGAGAACATGTAGGCAAAGCTGGGTTACTGTGCGAAAATGTCTGCATTCATGTCTGTATTTATTTTACTGTATTTCTAACCTTATATAATATATTAATATATAAATAATATATTGGTAGTATTAGACTAGATACTAGATCCACATTACAAATAATTAGTATATTTGTAATGTGAATCTAGTCCAAATTTGTGCAGTTGAGCAGTTTATATAACTCCAGCAGCACTGCTGTGTCTGATGCACTCGTACCAGCACAACACACCACTACCACGTCAGTGTTACTGCAGTGCTGAGAATGATCCACCACCCAAATAGTACCTGCTCTGTGAGGGTCCATGGGGGGGCTAACAAATGCAGAGAAACAGATGGACTACAGTCTGTAATTGTAAAACTACAAAGTGCACCTATATAGTAAGTAGAGCTGATAAAATGGACAATGAGTGTAGAAACAAGGAGGTGGTCATAATGTTATGCCTGAACACTGTGTGTGTGTATATATATATATATATATATATATATATATATATATATATGTATATATATACACATACATACACAGTGGTGTGAAAAAGTGTTTGTCCCCTTCCTGATTTCTTATTCTTTTGCACGTTTGTCACACTTAAATGTTCTGGATCACCAAACAAATTTAAATATTAGACAAAGATAACACAAGTAAACACAAAATGCAGTTTATAAATGAAGATCTTTATTATTAAGGGAAAAAGAAATCCAAACCTACAGGGCCCTGTGTGAAAAAGTGATTGCCCCCTAAACCTAATAACTGGTTGGTCCACCCTTAGCAGCAACAACTGCAATCAAGCGTTTGCAATAACTGGCAATGAGTCTTTTACAGCGCTGTGGAGGCCCATTCATCTTTGCAGAATTGATGTAATTCAGCCACATTGGCGGGTTTCCGAGCATGAACCGCCTTTTTAAGGTCATGCCACACATCTCAATCGGATTCAGGTCAGGACTTTGACTAGGCCACTCCAAAGTCTTAATTTTGCTTTTCTTAAGCCATTCAGAGGTGGACTTGCTGGTGTGTTTTGGATCATCATCCTGCTGCAGAACCCAAGTACGCTTCAGCTTGAGGTCACGAACAGATGGCCGGACATTCTCCTTCAGGATTTTTTGGTAGACAGCAGAATTCATGGTTCCGTTTACCACAGCAAGTCTTCCAGGTCCTGAAGCAGCAAAACAGCCCCAGACCATCACACTACCACCACCATATTTTACTGTTGGTATGATGTTCCTTTTCTGAAATGCTGTGTTACTTCTACGCCAGATATAATGGGACATACACCTTCCAAAAAGTTCAACTTTTGTCTCGTCAGTCCACAGAGTGTTCTGCCAAAAGTCTTGGGGATCATCAAGATGTTTTCTGGCAAAACTGAGACAAGCCTTTATGTTCTTTTTGTTCAGCAGTGGTTTCGTCTTGGAACTCTGCCATGCAGGCCATTTTTGCCCAGTCTCTTTCCTATGGTGGAGTCATGAACACTGACCTTAACTGAGGCAAGTGGGGCCTACAGTTCTTTGGATGTTGTTGTGGGGTCTTTCATGACCTCTTGGATGAGTCATCGCTGCGCTCTTGGGGTAATTTTGGTCGGCCGGCCACTCCTGGGAAAGTCCACCACTGCTCCATGTTTTCGCCATTTGTGGATAATGGCTCTCACTGTGGTTCGCTGGAGTCCCAAAGCTTTAGAAATGGCTTTATAACCTTTTCCAGACTGATAGATCTCAATTACTTTGTTTCTCATTTGTTCCTGAATTTCTTTGGATTGCAGCATGATGTCTAGCTTTTGAGGATCTTTTGGTCTACTTCACTTTGTCAGGCAGGTCCTATTTAAGTGATTTCTTGATTGAGAACAGGTATGGCAGTAATCAGGCCTGGGTGTCGCTAGGGAAATTATGTTAGGAGGGACAATCATTTTTTCACACAGGGCCCTGTAGGTTTGGATTTCTTTTTCCCTTAATAATGAAGACCTTCATTTATAAACTGCATTTTGTGTTTACTTGTGTTATCTTTGTCTAATATTTAAATTTGTTTGGTGATCTGAAACATTTAAGTGTGACAAACATGCAAAAGAATAAGAAATCAGGAAGGGGCAAACACTTTTTCACACCATTGTATATACATACACACCTATATTTGCTATAGTTTGTTATTTTTCTGGACTGAATTGGCTGAATGCTCTGCGAGTCTGATAAACTCAGCTGATGACTTCTTCTGTCCTGTTGCCCCGGTGACAGCGAAAGCTTCCTGGGAACCAAGAGGACATCTCTGCTGCTGATGGCAATGTTCCTGTTAGCGGTGTTCTATCATGGACAACAGGTGAGCACACGCGGCATAAGCACTCACACTGAAACACACACTCACTGTCTCTCTCTCTCTCTCTCTCTCTCTCTCTCTCTCTCTCTCTCACTTCCATTCTCTCGTTCTTTCTTTCTTTCTGATTCTCTCTCCTTGGCTTTTACTGGTTCCAAGGCGCTTGTGTGCGTGTCTTTATAAGGTCATGTGTTACTAGGAAATGCGGCAGAGCCATTGGCTATTTCATAAGGCCTTCTCAGCCAATATATAAAAGCTCAGCTCTTCAGGATGGACTGTGTGTGTGTGTGTGTGTGTGTGTGCGAAAGAGGGCAAACAGGAGGCTTTTTAAGTTCACTCTGTTGAATTGCTGTCTTTGATGCTGGAGATCAGTAGAAGACCTGCAGGGTAATGAAAAGGGGGGTGGGTGGATTGGGGGGACAAGCAGCAACAGAGAGGAGGAGAGTGATAGAGGAAAAAACAAAGCGATTGCGTGCTTGAGAGCAGAAAGACAGATGTGGTAAACTCTTTCTGCTGTTCTTGCTTTTACTATAAATGTAGCTGGAGGAGAGATTTTGTCTCTCAATCCGCTAATTTCTTCCTAAATGGTTCTTGGCTTGTGTGTATGGTTACACCTTAATTGGTATATTCCCTTTACATGGAGGGTCTTTTAACTTTAAAATCCTTTCTCAAAGACTTAACTCATGGTTTCTTCAAAGAGCCTTCCACTGAAAGGTTCTTCAGGGAATCGAAAGTGGTTCTTCTATTGAATTGCTCTAAAGAACCCCTCTTAAGAGTGTATGTGTGCCCATACATGAATGGATGTTTGCTTTTATCCAGGCACATGTACAAATAGACCCCAGTGGAGGCTTGAGAACAAACCTAGTGGATCAGCTTGGGTTCCACAAGCTTTGTTGCTCTTGGGCGCCCCCTCTGGTGCAGTACTGGCACTACTGGAGATTTCACATTGGAAACACCAACACTTCACGGATGCATGCATCACCAAAGCGCTGAACATCCTGCCAATGAAGCACTAAAAATCTCTTTAAGAAAACATCACATTGAATAAAGTGGTTATTTTGAACAACAACCAATCAAACAGTAGAGAGGGGTGCTTGTAACTCGCTAAACCAATTTTTTGTTATTTGGATTTATGCCAGGTTCTGTGGAGCTCTACTCATTTTTCAAATCGTCTGCATAATTCAGTCATTGAGATTTAACAAACTCATTCACAGTGGTTCGATGTGCAATATCATATCATGTCAATATCGGTAAGTAATAGGAATGACATCAAAATATAATAACGATGACACTGGACTGAAAATTAATTCAGTCAAAACTATTTGAATTAAAGACTTAATTCAATGGACACCAAGTGTGTCACTGGAAATTGTGAACTCATGACCTTGGTCATGAACCCAGACTTGGAATGGTCACAGAATTCTTACTGAGGCTTAAAGTGGCAGATTCTGTTCCATCTGGCACTGCTCCCAAGAAAGACATTAAAACCAGCTAAATAATTAAAGAAGGGTTGAAAATTAAAGCCGCTTTTGCTTTCAGAGGCTGACATTGCTGTCAGGCTACAAGCTAAGCTGCTTAATAAATAAAAATAATAAAGATGTCAGCATAGACGTCGGCAGAGGAGCAACTAAGATGTAGCAGATGTCAAAATAAACTATTGATATGGAATGGATTTAAGTACAGTGTGTGCAATCGATGTTCCAGTTAATTCCAAAGGTGTTTAGTGGAACATAAAAGGACCTTCCTCAAACTGTTGCCACAAAGTTAAGACATATAAATGTTTAAAATGTCTTTCTGTGATATAGCATTAACATTGTCCTTCACTGGAGCTAAGTGGCTGAGACCAAACCCTAAAATCAGCCCACATAGTGTGTATATATATATATATATATATATATATATATATATATATATATATATATATACGCTGTAGCGCGGCCAGTAGTGGGACGTGGGACGCTATTAAGTACAAGTCCTCTTCAAAGAGACACTAACATTCACACAGGTAACTATCCAAACACACCTTAGCTGCCACACAGATTGCTTTCTCATGGCTAAAGAACATATTTCTGATTAGATATAAGATCTAATCCACTTCCATAAAGAATGGGAAAAGTCAAAGATAAATAAGTGGAAAAAACAGAACTTTTGAAAACTGCAGTTAAATATTTTTTAAAAGATATGGGGAAAATGGGAAATTGTAACAACTATGCAAGACCTGGTAGACCATCAAAACTATCACCATCAGATAAACAGTACTTAAAGCTTTCATCTTTGAAAGATAGGATAAAATCAAGCTCCTCTCTCCATCCTTCCACTGTGAAGAGACAACCCAATGCTATGGGTCTGAAAGGTGTAAGGAAGCTGTTACTGACAAAATGAAATAGACGAAAAAGAAAGTTTGCACTAGAACCACCAAAACTGTGTTAACTGTCAGTCAAATATATGCTTTTTTTTACTGACACTGACAAATGAATAACTTGTATGTTAAGCATGGCTGTTGCTTACTGTAAGAAAGTTTAAAAAAACATACATTATCATCATGTAAAATGAAAACCAATTACTGCTGAAGGTGCATTTTAATAGATGATTTTTTTAACTGATGTGACAGCCGGTACAGTATTTTGTTGCGGTGGAGTTTTGTGTGTTTTTTTGGTATTGATTAGTAGGCTGTTGTGTTTAATACCATGACACTGAAATACTGAAATAATGAAATAAAATACTAAAATCCTGAGAGATTTTGTTCTGATGTGTTACTTGTAGTTCAGGGTTATGGCCTTGTTGTGCAGATGCTTTATGTGCTGTGTGTCTATAAAAGGAAGGGATAATGAGGGTCAGGCCTGAAGATGTGCTTTTAATTGTGGATGTGCTTTTAATAATCACTCTAACAAAACAGCCATGGAATTCAACCCCCCCACCAACACACACACACAGCACCCTCTGCGCTTTGCTCATTTAATTACTTCACAAAATTATCTTTCACACTGCATTCAATCTAATCTCACTCTCTTCCACACACACACACACACATTCTTCACAGCTTACACCATGCCCAGTCTGTTAGTAGATTAATTTTCAATATGGGAGCAGGAGCAATGTCAAGCTTTTCCCTCGTTTACCACCTATAATTATATTTGGATTTTAATGTATGCAGATGAGCGTGCACGCATTGTTCTGTTGGAGAGAAATCATTAGTGCTCTTTGCTAGCTGAGCTTATGTGTGTCTGGAGCAGGGATGGAGTGGGGCCGTTGGGTTGCTGGTCATGTGTGCATGTGTGCAAGCATGTGTAAAAAATGTGTCTCTGTCCATGTTATTTGTGTGTGTGTATGTGTGTGTGTGTTTGCAGCTGACTGCACCACGTTTAAAGGAATAGTTAGATGAAAAATTAATTAACACAGTTTTTACAGAACTTACTCTAGATGTAGTCCAGCAGCCAAGACATGTTTGGAGTTCAAATTTTGCTTTAGAACTGGAGCTGCGAAGCCAATGCGGCTAACAAACAGTAGAACTTAATAGTCACCCAAATGTCTCAAAACTTACTCAAAACTCTGAACCTGCTCAAATTGCATGCAGCTCTTCATTAAGGTCAGACTTGGTTTAGGAAACAATATGACTTACTGTGAACTATAAAGATGAGCAAAACTTCACTGTGAAACTAAAAGCAGCCGGTAGGCTTTTTAGAAAACTGTGTTCACAAACCACTTAAGGAGTGGGAGTGCTGATCTAGAATCAGTATTTGTGACAATGACCGTCATAAGTGTGGAAGACTCTGATCCAAGATCAGTCCTACTTTGTGAACACCAGCTAATGTTGTCTGGAGTTTTCTTCATTTTTATAGCTCACAGTAAGTTTGACTGTGTCCTAAAACACATTATCAACTCTGTTTGATCTTAGTGAAGACCTTGGTGCAGTTTCAGCAAGTTGAGAGAAGTTTTGGAGATATATTTTTGTGGAAACCACTGTGGCTATTTGGGTGACTATTGAGTAATAGTGTTTGCTAGCAATGTTAGCCTCACAGCTCCAGTGTAACTAAAGAAGCAAAATTAGGAAAATTAAGCATCTTGGCTGAATAACTACATCTGGGGTAAGTGAAAAATAGTTTAAATTTGGTTTTTGGCCTATTGCTTTAAAAGACACTTACCGCTTTATTAGAAACACCTACATTGTGACTCCACCTTGCTGGTGTACAGTTAGAAATGAAAGCTCATCTGCTGATGCACAATACAAGTGTCAGTCATCCTCTAGTTTTCATCAGTGGTCAGTTTCTGACTACAGAACACACATTGTAGGAGTACATTGAGAATACATTGTAGAATACACAGAATACATTGTAAGAGTACCTAATAAGGTTGATGGAGTGTGTTATATTACGTTTCACTCTCTCTGTTCCTTTTTCTTTCTCTCCATAGCTGGAGTATACAGCACGACTGGATTTCTTGTGGCGCGTACAGGCGAAGGAGGAGATCAATGAAATGCGAGAGTTGAGGGAACACAATGAGAACATGTTGCGTAACATCCTGCCCAGCCATGTCGCACGTCACTTCCTGGAGAAGGACAGAGACAACGAGGTTGTCACAGTCTCACACCCTGCACTTGACCTGCCCACATACACTGAACTCACTTGGCATGTCATTACTTATAAGTGTGTGTTTACTACATGCATGTTACTATATACACTATATGGCCAGGTGTGGAGACCTGATCATCACGCCTATATGAGTGTATTTGACATCCCATTCCAAAACCATGGGCATTAATATGAAGCTGTCCTTTGTGGCTTGGCATTGTGTATAGTGATCTTATGCTTGTGTGCAGCTGCTTGGCCATGGAAACCCATTTCATGAAAGCACAGCTGTCATTGCTTTTAGACACTTCCATTTCACAATAATAGCACTTACAATTGTCCAGGGCAGATCTAGCAGGGCAGAAGTGGCATGCTATAACAGTGCCACTTTAAAGTCACTGAGCTCTTCAGTATGACCCATTCTATTGTCACTGTCTGAATTTGGAGATTGCGTGACTATGTGCTTGATTTTATACACCTGTTAGTAATGGGTGTACCTGAAACACCTGAACTCAATATGAGTAGGGGTGTCCACATACATTGTCATATAGTGTATGCACCCTTTCTAATTTCTTCCTGTTTTGTGCCTGTTGTCTTGCATTTTGTTGTTTCTTTTTTTCTACCTACTCTTTCCTCCCTATTTAGTTAATAGTCAGTGGTCAATTGCTAGTTAGGTCTTCTTTTTCTATTTATATGTTTATTCAGAATGCCTCTACAGTTTCACAACAATACACTGACAAATGTGAATGTACAATGAAAATCACAATCTATGGCAAAGCTTATTGATTATTTATCCACATATTCCTTCAAAACAAACTGTTTACAATAGAACAGTGGGAGCTTACATTCTACATGCATTCATATACACATACACACATATACATTACACCTTCATGCATTCATCAGTTCACTAGTTAGGTCTCCTATCACACAATGCTCCCGAGCTGTGAGGGTGAAGTCTAGCTCAAGCCTCCTTCAGGCTCCTTCAAGCCAAGTGACAAGTGAAGTGCCACTGAATCTTTCTGAAGTGCCGCTAACTCCAAGGTTCAACACACTTGGAGAAGACCGCTAACTGGCAGTTCTGTTACATTAGCTAACTAACCTGTGTTGGCTAGCATGGTGCTGACCGATGGGGTGGACGGCAGGCCAGAGGCATGACAACAAGCCCGCTAAAATGTTAGATGTTAGCGAAGGGATGGCTGTGGCATCACCAGAGATCAAACTATTGCCCCAAGAATTTACTGATGATAGGGCCAACGTGGTTGTGCCACTTGGGAGCCCTTTATTGTTTTTTGTATTGTTTGTTGGCTATTGTGGACAAACACACAACTCTACAGAATCAAAACACCTCTAGTGTCATTGTGTGGCAGTTAAAAAATCTTTGAGAACCCACTCATACTGTTCTGTGTGTTTCTGACAGTCAGAAGGCAGAGGTCTAATTCAGATGTTTGAACTCTCCTCCAGGAGAAAGCTTCTAAGTGTGTGTGTGTGTGTGTGTGTGTGTGTGTGTGTTTGGGGTCGCAGCAAGATTGACAGAGAGACATTTTGTCTCCCTCTCTCTCTTTGTCAGTTGTTATTATTCTGAGAACAATGTGCTCACAAATACCCCCCTTTCAATAGTCCCACCCCAAGACACACACTCACACAGAAGGGGAGAAGAGTATGTGTCGTGGCGTTTGGTTTGACACTAATAACACGCTGTCAGTCTCGACTACGAAGGAACTGGAGGATTTCTGAAGAAGAGAGAGAAACAACCTCTGATGTAGTTTCAAGGGCTGCCTTTCTCTCCATCGCTATCTCTGTATCTATCTACATTTGTCTCTCTCTCTGTATTTCCATTTGCCTCTCTTCATCTCTGTTTCTGTACCTTTTTATCTCATTTCCCGCTCTCTGACTATCGCCCCTTCCATCTCTTTATATATATATATATATATCTCATCTCTCTGTTTCTCTCTCTCTCTCTCTATATATACATATATATATATATATTAGGGGTGCGGAAAAAAAATTGATTCTTAGATGTATCGCGATGTGGACGTAAACGATTCTGAATCAATTCACAAATGTCAAAAATCGATTTTCTAAACTATTTCATTTATAACGTAATGTTGATGGAACGCAAAAGGCGGAACTTGGAAGTGCAGCGCCCGGACAGTCTGTGGCGGCACATAACAAAAACACTACTGGATGAGCGAGAAGTCCGACCAGCTCCCTCTGCATTAAAAGCCAGGTTAGATCAGAAGTCACAACACAAATGATAAGAAGAGCCATTTTGTCCTTTCAGCAAAAATCAAACCACCTTGGGAGCCGCAACATTTAATGTCCAGTATGTCTCATTATGTGATAATGTCCTAGTATAGGCTAAACAATATAAACGAAAACGCAGATTTACTTCGCTCTGCTTTAAGCTTCCTCAGAAGTTGATCAGTTAAATGTCTTTCAACGTTCGACTGTTTTACGAGGCTGAAGTCACTTCTCATTCTCCAGCTTCTTGTTCGAATTTTCCCATTCCACCTTAAATTCTAACTGAGGCGCCGAATGTAAATGCGGCACCATTTAAGGTGGAACGGGAGAATTCGAAAGAGAAGCTGACTTCAGCTTCACCACTTTTTAGTGTGTGACAGTCTCTCGTTGCAAATTTAACGTACCAGGAAACCAACTGCAGTGCTTATAAATGCAAATAAACGAATCGCTGCTATGTGACCTGCAGTCTGCACGCCGGTTCTCAGTCGTTGCGAAACAGGGCTTTCACGCTATGTTTCACACGTCCCGTGTCAAAGATACTTTACTGACACAGCGATCCCCCCATCTCTACAATGAGACCAAAACCGAAGTTATAAAATCACTAAAGAAAAGAATAGCTGTAACGTGCTGTGTGGACATCCATTACAACTGGATCTTATTTTACCGTAACTATGCATTTTATCGCAGATGAGTAGCAGCAGCTTCTCGTGCTCCAAACAAGAGCACTGAATGAGAGCCTTCCAGTGCACTTGCCACATCGCTTCCATTTGATTTATTAAAAAAGATATTGGAAGTAAATTCATTATGGACCATTACAAATACTTTGCTTTAAAAGTACCAGATCACTTTAAATAACAATAACACCGAGTTACTTAGTCACTTTAAAATGTATATTGTCTCTACATTCTGTACATATTTTGTGTATATTTAATATATTTCAGTTGGTTTTTCTTGTATTTTTATAATCGCATCGCAGCCCTCTCAATCGTAATCGAATCGAATCGTGATGTCCCTAGAGATTCCCACCCCTAATATATACATATATATCAATTAAGCTGCAGTTGGGTTGTTTTGATTAGCTAAATATAACTCAACAAAATCCAGCAACTATTGAAGTTTTTGTCAAAAGCAGATAACTCCAATGGTCATTTCATATTTCAGAGTTAAACAAAGCCATTTAATGGACACATGTTTCTTCTAAGTGCAACATTTAACATTTTTAACATAAACAAGTAGGTAAAGTGCTGAAAATTGCAACAAAAACAGCCAATTAATGGGCAATATTGAACATCTATAAGATCATATCTCGGAAAATCATAAGGTTGAATGTCACGTCTTGCTGTTTCCTATATAGTGCACTATGTGAGTTATGATATTTTGGCTTTAACACCCAAATATTGCCCTTTATGTTCAATATGGAACTGTGCCCACATGGCCAGTGTGGTTCTTTGTTAGACATACTGCGCTCTGTTTAGATGCAGTAGACACTATTTTAAGACCTCAGACTGCACTTTGTGGGGAGATGGGAGCCATTCGAGATTTTACCTACAACAGTTCACGGCAGTGTTGCTTCCACTGACCCGAATACGGCACGCTGATTCGCTGAATGGATTTATTGGGTTCTGCTGGAGAGCAGCACTGGCGTTTGACTGTTTCTGCTGTAGATCATAAACTTGCAGTGCCTTGACAATGGACAGCAATAGCTTTTGTGACAAAACATATCTATAATAACTCGCAACAGTCAGCTTGATTTTTTTAAAGGATGGTGTTAGTTTTTTAGCAAATGAGCTCTTCAAATATATATATATATATATATATATATATATATATATATATATATATATATATATACATATATACATATATGTGTGTGTGTGTGTGTGTGTGTGCACGTGTGTCTGTGATTTTCTCCTAAAGTGTATTGTGTAATAAGTGTGATTATTTAAATTTCATATATTAGGGATGCACAAGGCTAATAGTATCTGCAATAATTGCCTAAAGAAAATTAGCGGCATTAGACGGACGCTTACATTTCATCGACATTTCAAACTGATACTTGTTGACACATTTACTGTAATCCAGATAAGCAAAATGTTGACACTGGGTTACTGCACTAAAAGGTCTGCATTTTATTTATTTTACTGCATTTTAAACCTACAGAAATAAATATTATATTTCTCTGTGATGCTAATCCAGGTAGATTTACTCCCAGTTTCCATGTTTCATAAATGTTTATGTATCAGCATCAGCATCAACAGATATGTAGGTATGGGATGGGTAAGCAAAGACACTGAAACATCAATAAAATGAGACAAAGTTATTGATAAATGTTAATAATTCCATCATATAATCCATCTGTATTGTACAGTTTTCATTTGTGCCAGAATGGGCAACAAAAAGCCTTTACACACAGAGTGCAAAAAACTTACACATTGACACTAAAGCCATCTATCATGTCCTGGTTGTTCATGGGTTTTTTTTACTCCTTTTAATGTTTTTTTAATGCATTTAATGAACTCACACACAACACCTTTGATATGATGTTGAACTTTTTTTAGCAGAATGTCTTTGAGTCAATGAATTCTTGCTTTTAAAAGTGTCATAATTGATATCAGCCATCCCTACTGCATATGTAAATGAAGTAAAACTAGGACTGGAGTTTCAGATCCTGAATGAGTGCAGAATGCTTACACAAACAAAATGGAAAAAAGAAAGGATAAATTCTACATATTGATTTCACGGCCGTTGTAAATAAATATT